TAGCACCCTAGGCTTTAGGCACCCCTCATGCAGCTGTAGCTCCTATCACTCCCAGTAGCAGTTCTCATATCTGTTTACTCAGATTTTTCATCATAATGATCAGTCTCAGCCCTTTAGAAAAAGACAACTGGATGTATAGCTTATGGTTCTTATATTCTCGACTGATTATCTCTAAAAATTAATCATGCATTCCTCATGGTGCTTAAAACATCCATATAGAAGAATTTCTCTACGAATTCATGATAATTAGCAAAGAAGTCACTGAAGGTGACAGATTAGGGATAACTTGGGTCTGGATGTTGTAGAGGTCCTTTGCAGAATTTCCTTTGCTTTTTGAAATGTAAATTTATTCTATCTATAAAGGCAAATTCTATTTTCAATGCAAAAATAGAATTCTTTTCTATGCACAAACTTATCTCTTTGATGCCCCCTACCGTGGTTTCCTGTTAACCACAGAAATATATCAAAACCTGAAAGAAGTCAGCAAAGCTTATGATTTCTGGAAGAGTACTTTTTCAAAGACTGGGTCACTATTTAAAACAAAATAAAACAAAAGCCTTACCTAACTCCCTGGGTTATAAATTGTTTTTATGAAAAACTCTGCAAAAGACTTTTAATCAAAAGTCAGAAATTTGGTAAATCTTTTTCTCCTTAGTCTTAGCACACAATACATTAAAATGTGTTAAGAATAGGCAACAGGTGAAGCTTAGTTCTTGAACTAAGAACTGTATGCCTGCAGATCTAATACTTAAGATTATATTAAGTTCAAGGCTGGAAAGAATTTTCTTATTTCAAAGTTCTTCCATATCAGCGTCTTACCAACACTTCCTGAGATAATTAATACAACGACACATCCAACAGAAACTAAGAAATGGGGGTGTAATCAGTATTTCAAAAGCAATTACTCTTTTTAAGGAATCTAACATTTTTAATAAAATTATTTTAAGACAAATTATCAGGGTCTTATCAGCACTTGATTCTTGTTCAAGATAGTTACTTGCCCCCTCCCCCAACACCAAACCGGGAAAACTTCAGAAAATCCTTTTCTGACCTCATTTAAAATGTATTATTATTTTATATGCCCCAAATCTACCAAATGAATTTGCTTATACAACACTGAATCTAGGAATGTGCTCTACTTTGAAGGAGTTTTTACAAATGTGGAGTATGCCCAATGTCTGTTGCCATGTAACATAAAGAAATTGTTTTTAATAATTACAATTTTGTGGTTCGTAATACTGCCTCAACGTTTTTGCCTCTGTGTGTGCTCACTCAGTCGCGTCCAACTCTTTGCGAGCCCATGGACTGTAGCCTGCCAGGCTCCTCTGTCCATGGAATTTTCCAGGCAAGAATACTGGAGTGGGTTACCATTTCCTCCTCCAGAGGATCTTCCAGATTGAACCCCCATCTCCTGAATCTCCTGCTTTGGCAGGCGGATTCTTCACCACTGAGCCACCTGAGAAGCCTAGCTTAATTAAAAAATTATTATGTATTGTTGCTGAAAATTTTTAAGTTGCTAAATCCAGTGATCAGTTCCCTGTCCTCATGTCATTCAACTGTCCAGCAGCATTTAATGCAGCTGGTCACCCCCTTCTTATCTGCTCTTTTGGCTTCTAGGACAAGACACATCCAGGCTTTCCTCCTACCTTTCAGTTTCCTTGGCTGGCTCCTCCTCGTCTCTTGAATCTCTTCATTCCAGGATGCCCCAGGAGTCAGAGCCTGATCCTCTTCTCCATCATGTTCTTTCCTTTGATGATCTCATCCAGCCTCATGGCATTAATTATCATGTATATATGCCCATAATGCCCGAACAAGGCCAGTTCTATGGACTTGCAGCCTGTGCCCCTCTCAGTAGGACCCCACAGTTGGCTAATGTTCTGTTGTCACAATCTTGAAAATTCTTAGTAATTATTTAACAAAAGTTTCTCCCTTTCATTTTGCATTGAGCCCTGTAAATTAAACCTGTGTCCACCTCTCAAACTTATATATCCAGACTAGCCATCTCTCCAGACTTGTACACCTAACATCTCAACCTGAGTATCTAATAGATAGTTACGCTTAGTAAGAACAAAACTAACACTTGAATTTTCTTCCCCAAACCTGCATCACCTCTAGCCTCTCCAAACTCAGTAACACCTTCATGTTTTCATTTGCTCAGATAAACACTTTGGAATTATTTTGATTCTGCTGCCTCTGTCATGTTCCACAACCAGTCCATCAGCCAATCATGTTGTCTCTGTCTTCAAGACATTTTCAGCATCTAACAATTGTTCACCACCTCCACTGTTGCCATCCTGATCTGAGACACCACCAGCTTTTCCTTGGATCACTGCAGGAGCTTCCTATAGGCCTATGGTCTATGCTCAACACAGAAACCACTATGGCCTTTTTAAACAGAGGCCTGCTCACATCACTCCTTCAATCAAAATCCTCCAGTGCTTCCCTATTTCAATCAGAGTAAACAGGACAAAGTCTTTATCAACCACCACCCTCCCCCCCACACACCCCACATACACACACTTCTCCAGGATCTTGTTCCACTGCCAGAACTACTCCTTACCCTATTCTTTGACCTCCTCTCTTATCATCTGCCTCTCACTCTCCATTCAAGCCATCCTGAATCCCTTTCTCTCCCTTGAAAATGCAATCATCTTAGGGCCTTTCTAAAGGCTGTTTCCTCTGCTAGAAATGTTCTTTCTTGGCTCACTCCTTTAGATCTTCTAAAATTCAATGAATTCTCTAGACCCACTGTGAATATCCTACTTAAATTTGCAACCTACTCACTTCTAGAACTCTCAACGCCCCTTATCATGGCCATATTTTAAAAATTTATTCTACAGCACGAATCACCTTCTAATGCAATATAAAACAACACTATGTTTTGCAGTATACTATAATGTGTATACATATACATATAATATGTATATGTATATACCATATGTAGTATTTTGCACATACTTTTTAATTTGCTTATTGTTCATTGTATCTCCTTTCTAAAATGTAAGCTCCACAAGAACAGGGATATATACTAAGAACAGTATCTTGCACATAGTAAGCATTCAATAAATATTTGCTATTAAATAAACAACCTATAATACAATCCATATTTATCATGGAAAAACTTTAAGCAAGGGAGTTCATCAATATGAATTTGAATTATTCATTTTTACGGAGCTCAAGTGATCAGCATAAACTCCCTCCCCAATATTTAGCATGATGCAAAAATAAATACTCTCCTTCAGTTGTTCTTTATTCAGTTATTATTCACACAAATGCTATTCCCCTCAACTGTTCATTATTCAGATAAATGTTATTATTCTCCAAGATGGTGTAGAGAGTGTGAGTGGAACAAGAATACAGTAAATCACTATTAAGTGGGATGCTCCAAGATTGGATGCAATAATGGTGCCAATTTAGTAGCATCTGCTATAGGAAAGGAATTTTGAAGTAACTAAGTATAACAACCTCTTTAAGATCCTAATACAAATAAGCTACTTAGAAGTCAGTAGATAGTGGACTTGTCTGAGAACTAATTTTGCCTGCTGAGTAGTAAGGCAATCATTCACATGAAGGAAATGTAGCTTTTCCCAACATTAAAACTTTCCAAGTTTCTTTTGGTGGTGAGAGGAAAGGGCCAAATAAGCCACTATTATTTAAATAATTTTGAAGCTAACTTTTTTGGTGATTTCAGAGAAAAGTTACAGAGAAAGTTGCAAGTTTGAGCCTAAGGCTTCAATGTGGAAAATGTAAAGGAGCAAAAGAATGGTCCACCTCTCTAAAGACTAGACTTCTAAGTCAGGCACAGGGCAGCCTGAAGCAGGCCTTGGCAGTGTGTCCTGTCTGGTATGAGGACAAGTGTGATCTAAAGGGTCAGTGTAGGGCTATATTTCCGCCTGCAGTTTAATGGGGTTTCAAAAAACAGTATCAAGAATTTATGTGGTTGGAAACAAAAACCTATCAAGAAAGGTTCACAGATTTAGGATGATTCCCTCTGGGGGAGAGAAGAGGACATTTCCTGTCTAACTGTAGCTTTTAAGATTATTTTGTGCAATATCCTACAATTTACATTTTGTTTTCATATACATCATCTTATTTTGTTTGTGACTAAGCTGCTTAACAAGTTATTTAGATAATAATAATCAAAATGAGTTTTTCCATTTTAAATATAATTTTAAATAATTTTTATAAGTATAGACTTCAGATATATTAAATTTCAAAATTATTATCAAGACATAAAGATAATAGTTTTTTATTACAAAGCACAGATGGCCCTCAGTTTTAGACGTGGTTGCAGTCAAGGAGGAATATGGCAGAGCTAGCTGACTGGCTGTATCTTCAGGAAGCACAATCTGTCCCTGGAAGTGTCCACAACTAATTTCATTGTAATATCCAGAGCTGGTGCAGCTTTCAAGTTCTTCCCCACACTAAACAAACTCCTCGGCAAGCCTGAAAGGAGTATTCCTTCATTATAATTAATAAAATTGCTTCCTGTTTTATAAATATTCAAGGATTTTGTGACACAATAAAAGGAGACAGACAAATACATCATTATAGTAAAATGTTCTGATTATTATCACCAAGTCTGCACAACCTACTCCGGGGAATAAACTCAATTTCCCTGGGGTGGAATCAGAGATGATCTTATAAGAGAACTGCATCTTAAAGAAAAAAATCATAACACCAGAGGACAGGAATAACAGCAGAATTGGAATATTTGATTCAAACAGTAACTAAAGTACTAGTATTTTCTATTTTGAAACTTTTTAATCCATAAAATTAAAATGTAAGACTAGGTATTTGATGCATTTTAAATTTTAAAATCATACATTAAGGAAAATGAAAAATTACAAAATTTAAAAAATAAATCATTACTAATATCAGTTGCTGGCAGGTAAAACAAAGTGTTACAAACAAACTAACATAAACACTACATGAGATAAAGAAAATGTAACTAATGGTGATAATAGAAGACGACATGTAATTTAAAAGGAAGATGTCTCTTTAAGAGTGTGTCAGTTGGTTTTTATTAGATAGTGAACTTATTTTTGTGTACATTTTTTCAGTTGCTGAAAAAGCTCTGATTCTAAACTAGTTGGAAGATGATATCATTGTTATTAGCTAACTCCAAACATTTCTTTTTCACTCCATCTTCAAACATCTCTGTCTCTGTCTGTCTCTTGCTGACTTTGAGGACATATTTTTAATAACTATTTTCTCCATGGGTTGCAGTCTTTTTATTGACACCAAGCTGTGTTCTAATTCTTTCAGAAGAGATATCACACGTCTCTTTTGGCTTCTTTAGCTGCATGGAGAGCTTCCATGCAGAGTTTCTTGCATTAGTTTCAGCACCGGCATTTTCATATTCTATTTGTTCAGAAGTGCCTGGAACTCAAATATTATTCTTCCAGTAGAAGCTTCTCCTTTCAATTCTCATTAATTCTTCCTCTTAAGAATTCTGGAGACAGAGAAGAAGTTCATCTAAGCAAGTAAAACAGTTTGATTAGAAACTGTAATGCAATATAATATGTAAATAACTCAAATCATAGAAAATTTTAGAATAATGGTTTTATTCCAACAAAAAATATCACAGTATATGAAACACTAAAATTAAAGAAAAAAAAGAAAAAGATATTCCATTTACTAGCTTAAAAGTGAAATGTAATCCATAGAATCCAAGGCAGACATGCAGTTCAGTCCTGGCATTAAAAGAACCATAAATCCAGCAACCTGAAGTAGTTCAAATAGAGATTCAGATCTTTACTATACCCTCTGAAGAAAATCCCCAAGGAGAAATACTTAAAACTTCATCAAAATCCACTTTCTTTATCCCAAATGCCTGGAACACATCAAAAATCTTCTTTGTTTATTACCAAAGCTCTCAGGACTTTCATTTGAACCCATATAGGATGAATTTTTGTGTTCCAATTATCCTTTACTTTCCAGAATTACCATTTGTTATTTTTTCACTTGTAACCCCTTTCCCATGAAGGTCCCCTGGGTCCTCAGCTTAAGGATGGAATGGGAAGTCAAGGGACTTGTTCAGTTGCTAAGTCAAGTCCAACTCTTTGTGACCCCATGGACTGCAGCATGCCAAGCTCCTCTGTCCTCCACTAACTCCTAGAGTTTGCTCAAATTCATGTCTATTGAGTTGGTGATGTTATCTAACCATCTCATCCTCTGCCTTCTTCTTCTTTTTGCTTTCAATCTTTCCCAGCATCAGAGTCTTTTCCAATAAATCAGGTCTTCACATCTGGTGGCCAAAGTAATGGAGCTTCAGCTTCAGCATCAGTCTTTCCCTCATCAAGCGGTTCTTTAGTTCCTCTTCACTTTCTGATATTAGAGTGTTTGCATATCTGAGGCTGTTGGCATTTCTCCCAGAAATCTTGATTCCAGCTTGTGATTCATCTAGCCTGGCATTTCAGAACTTGATGTAGGTCCTATATTCTCTCAAGGAGCATAACTACATTGAGAAGGAGGAAGACAGAGAAGCAGCCTGAGGCCACAATGCTGAGGGAGGGATTATTTTTTGCATTGTTCTTGAATATAAGAAACATTAAGGTGTTTATAGAAGGGGCCAAATGGAAAAACAGACATTAAAAACAGAAAAGATGAACTAGAATAACCCACAGATGAGGTCCTGGGCCTTGGCACATGCTGTTCCTCTCTTGCCCAGGACTCCCTATTTATGCCATCTGGGTGTGTATTGCTTGTTCTTTAGGACTCAATTCAGAAACCAGGTCCTTCAGAAAGTTTTACAGGATCCACCTCCATGTTTCCATAGCTACTGAGACACATCCTAGTGTGACCTGTATATAATAGCCTTGGGCACTTACAGATACTATCACTAAATACCAGATATAGTTGATCCTTGTAACCTCAATCTCAGGCAGAAGATATAGTGCACACAGTAGCAGATTCTCATTTAACAATTGTTAAATAAATGAATGAATATTTTAAAACAGGAAGAGGTGATCACACAACCATAAAAATAGGATAAGTCTTCTTTTTGAAAGAAACTACTTAAAACCATCATTTTCATGGTCTCTGTTTAACTAAGATAGGAACTCTGCATGCTCCCAAAGAGAAAGTATAAAAGGAACTAAATATTCTACAATTTAAAATGACTGATTCCTAGAAGGGTTGGTTATGGAAGGTAGCCCACTTCAAATCCTAGGTAGCTTACCTCAAATCCTAAATTATGCCCTTCTTCTTTAAGGCTTTAAGATTTACTGTTCCAGAGAGTTACTGCTGTTCAACAATAGATTATTCCATATAATATGTATTATCTCACAGTTCACATGGGTCAGGAGTCACAGCGTGGCTTAGCTGGGTCCTCTAGGTCAGGGTCTCTCACAAGGCTGCTGTCACAGTACTGGTTGAGGCTGTAGTAATTGCAAAGATGAGCTGAGGATGTGGGTACAGAGGTGACCCTAAGAAGCACAGGTGAGGAAATGTGAAAGGTGAGACAGGGGGTGGAGAAAAGGCAGGAAGTATGCTTTACCGAGCAGGGTTAACAAGTAGGTGAGTAATGAGTGGGCTCCACTGAGGGTGCAACCCCACTGAGAACACTCTGAGAAACCATGTAGAACACACCTAAATATTGACCCACTGGTGGTGAGGAGGCTGGGGCATTAATTCACCCACTCTATCCACAACTGGTTAAAGACTGTGACCAGGGGTAATTCCCCCTCCACACTTGTGTGCTGCACCTGCCTATAAGAGAACAAGCTCCCCTGGGGCCAAAGAGAGACTTCAGGCAAAGAAGAGAGACATGGAGCTGGAGGTAAGAAACTCTGTGTGTGGAAACTGTATTTGTGCTGAACTGAGGAGAGCCAAGGGGTTGTGAGGCAGGATACTAACAGTGTTTGCTACAAGTAGTTTTCCTTTGGATTCAGGGAGAGGCTTATACAGTTCAGGGCTTTTGGTCTTTACTCTCCAATGTTGTCTTGTGGCTCAGCTGGTGAAGAATCTGCCTGCAATGAGGGAGACCTGGGTTCAATCCCTGGGTTGAGAAGATCCCCTGGAGAAGGGAAAGGCCAGCGACTCCAGTAGTCTAGCCTGGAGAATTCCACGGACTATATAGTCCATGGAATCGCAAAGAGGCGGACACAACTGAGCGACTTTCATACTCCAAAGTTATAACTCCACTTTTAAAATCAGCCCAACCCATCAGTAAAGAGATTCACATATCTTCAGTCTGTGATCTTGGGCAAACTGAAGTGGTAGTCTACTTCAATCCCTCTTCTCTGAAGGACACAGTGTCCTGGATACTCTCCCAGTGACCAGCAGTGCAAACAGCAGTTACACACAGCTGATCAGAGGAAAGGATGGGAGCCTAGGAGATAGAGTGGGCAGCTTAGGGGAAGTATGTGACTGGATCTTCCCCACGATCCCTACACTGACCTCTGCCAAAGAAGGGGTGATGGAGGCTTGGGTTACAACTGGTGGCAGTGTGTTTGATGGCTTGTGGCTAAGGATGGGGCTGAGGTTAAGAGAAAGGTCATCTATGAAGAATAAAGAGAGCCTAGTAATGGAGAAGTGAAAATGATGGAGAAAACTTGAAATAGTTCCTTGTTGAAAATGAGAAAATGAGCTGACTTTAAAAAACAGGGTTGTTAGAGGTGTATGTAGAGGGTCATACTGAGGCTGGTGCCTGTCAATCACTAGGGCAGCAATTTGCCCAGTGGCATAATTATCTGGAACTGGGCTCAGACCCAGATAGAGATTCAAAACGGTGAGTGTCACCTTTGTGGGTGTCTTCTTACTGGTTACACCATTCATTATAATTTGTCCAACTGGTTATGGATTTTTGTGTTTACTCCTCCAGTAGAGAGGCGAAGGGGTGTGTGACTAGACAGAGGCCTTCTAACCACTGACATTCTGGAATTATGTTTTTGGTCAGCCTCTTTCTCTTACAAGATCATGAGCCTCTTAAGGCCATAGACTATGCATTATTCATCTTTGTGTTCCAAATAGCTCATAATTATGATGCATAAATGTTTGTGAAATTATGACGGAACACATTTTAAAGCCTCCAAATTTATTGAACATACTTTGTGACTTGCTACTTCAAACTAAGAAACTGAAAAAGTAGAAAAAAAAATCTAAGAACGAGGAAACACATTTCTGCTTTATTAATAAATAGGAAGAAAAATATGAAGACTGAGTTAGTCTGAAAACAACTTAAGACCTTAAAACACAACTTTTGACTTATAAGAAAGTTAAAAATTTAAAACATTTGGCTGGTTAAAATAATTGTATGTATATTTAGTTTATTCTCTTCCACAGAAATTATAAATAGTTTTATGTGTGTATGTAGAAAAAATTATACATGTTTACATAAGACTCTTGTTTAAAACAGTATTATTCACAGTGAAGTGTTAAACTCCTAAGGCTATTCAGTGGTGGGTTCACAAAACTTACACAGCAAATATGCCATATCTTCCAGAAACAAGAGTGCTACAATAATCTTTCTTCAGGGAGTGTGGGAAAGAAGCAACCTGAGAGGTAGGTTGGTGTTGATTATGGTTCTCTTAGGAATACACAGCATAGAGAGACTGTGATGATTTTTCATGTGTCAACTGGTCCAGAGAGTACCCAGATACTTGGTCAATCATTATTTGGGTATTACTGTGAAAGTATTTTTGGATGAGATTAACACTTAAATCCTTAGCCTGAGTAGGTTGTTCTCCCTAATGTGAGGGGGTCTCACCCAACCTGCTGAAGACCTGAATACAACAAAAATGTTGAACCTCCTCTCCCAAGTGAGAGAATTCCTCCTGCCTGATGCCTTTGAAATGGGACATTAGCCTTTTCCCCACCTTCAGACTTGAGTTGAATCATTGGCTCTTTGGACTAGAACTATACCACTTACCCTCCTGGGGTCTCCAGCTTGCCAACTCACCCTCCAGATCTTGGAACTTTCCAGCTTCTATTATCACAGGAGCCTATGTAAATAGATAGATGGTGGTATAGTTGCTAAGTTGTGTCCGACTCTTGTGATGCCATGGACTGTAGTGCACTAGGCTCCTCTGTCTATGGGATTTCCCAGGAAAGAATACTGGAGTGGGTTGCCATTTCCTTATCCAGGGGATCTTCCTGACCCAGGATTGAACCTGGGTCTCCTCCATTGCAGGTGGAATCCTGCACTGCAGACAGATTCTTTAATAACTGAGCCACCAGGGAAGCCTGGATAGATAGATTGATCCATCTGTTTCTTCTTGGAAGAATCCGAATTAAAACAGAAGCCAAGAACATACATACCTGACCTGTTGAATTTGAAATGATTCTCTCCTTAAGTCTTCACAAGTATTTATTAATACTAACTTCAGTAATCAAAATAATAACTATACCATTTCAAAAAATAATAATAATAACTATACCATTTCCAGACTGGCCTCAAACTGAAATTGACATGACATAAAAATAAACTGTAAAAGGTAGGTAAATTAATTCTCCCTGTGTAATTCTTTCCACTTTTCTGTACGTTTGATAATTTTCATAACAAAACATTGAGGAAATTAATTTAAAAGGCGTAGGTTATGGAAAGTAAAATGTTTATCAAGTAAATAGAATAAAGTACAACAAAATTCTTAATAAGATTTTAAACAAACTGAGTTTAATTCAAATACCCCAATTCCAAAATGGCAGTAACAAGATGCCATCTCAGCAGATACCTTGACCCTTACTTCATAGGTAAGAATGATACCTTCATGGAATACCCCAAATGTCCAACAACCACTCCTGCAAACTTACTGTACAAGTATCTCTGTTTTAGCTTTCTCCAGTCTCAGAGGATAAGGAGTAATACCTCTTGGTTAAGACCAATCCGGCCACCTTGTCCTTCTTGCTTCATCTCCAAAGTCTTGCTCCATCAGTTAATCCCTCTCTGCTTTAGTTTCTTCTTTTCCTTTCTCATTAATGGTTTCTTCCCCTACAATATGTTTGAAATGCTTAAGAAATCTACCTCTCCAAAACATCCCCTTTGTCTCAGATACAGAAGATTACTATTAATATTTTACAGATTCCTATTTAGAAGAATATTGGGCTTCCCTTGTGGCTCAGCTGGTAAAGAATCCGCCTGCAATGTGGGAGACCTGGGTTTGATTCCCAGGTTGGGAAGATCCTGTGGAGAAGGGAAAGGCTACCCACTCCAGTATTCTGGCCTGGAGAATTCCATGGACTGTATAGTCCATGAGGTCAGAGTCAGACACGACTAAGTGACTATCACTTCACTTCTGTTTAGAAGATGCTAGGTCTTCCTTGGGTAATGCTGGTCTGTGAAATGCTTGTTACTGATCAGAGACTGAGATAAGGAACTTTCATCAAAATGTAAAGCAATTATTGGGTTGGCCAAAACATTCAGGTCCTTCCACAAGAACTTGCAGAAAAACCTGAGTGAAGTTTTTGGCCAACCCAATACCTTAATAAGCATGCAGTTTCATTCAGCTGACTTCTTTTATTTTTTAAGTAAGACTTTCTCAATGAAAGAAACAGTGTACTCGTTTATATTCTAGCACCTTACCTCACTATGGTTATGATCTGGTAATGAACAGTGTGTGGACTGGCACCAGTCAGGAGACTAGTTTGTTTGTGGACTACACAACAAGTAACATGGATTGGAGCGACAATAATGCAAATCTCTCCACACATCCATGCAAATATACTACTCCAGTCAAGTGAGGCTGGAGAGAGAGTCATCAGAATTAGCTCAGTTTGGTGTTCAGATTATGCTTCTAAGATATAGATCATGTATGTTTGAATGAATATATGTCTAGAGCAATGGCCCCAACCTTTTTGGCACCAGGGACCAATTTTGTGGAAGACAGTTTCTCCATGGACCTTGGGGGGAAAAGGCAGGGATGGTTTGGGGATGATTCAATTGCATTACATTTATTGTGCACTATACTTCTATTATTAAATCAGCTCCACCTCAGATCATCAGGCATTAGATCCTGGAGGTTGAGGATCCTTGGTCTAGTCTAGAACAATGTTTATCAAACTACAGATCTTGACTCAAACTTCTTGGTAAGAATTGTTTTGTGGAACTTTTTTTTATAAATTGAGGCATAGTTTCTTACAAAGTTGTGTTCATTTCTGCTGTACACTGAAGTGAATCAGCTTTATGTATACATACATCCCCTCCCTCTTGAATCTCCCCTCACTGCCCCATCCCACCCCACCTGTCTGGGTCATCACAGAGCACCAAGCTCAGCTCCCTGCACTATACAGTAGCTTCCAACTAGCTGTTTCACACATGGTAGCATATATATGTAAAACCTAATCTCCCAGTACACTTGATCTTAGCCAAAAGGCCAAGAAGTGAAAAGTAGGAGGTCAAGAGATACGTGGAGTATCAGGCAAATTTGTCCTTGGAGTACAAAATGAAGCAAGACGAAGGCTAACAGATTTTTGCCAAGAGAATGCACTGGTCATAGCAAACACCCATGGTCAATACTGAAATCAGACTGATTATATTCTTTGCAGCCAAAGATGGAGAAACTCTCTACAGTTAGCAAAAACAAGACCAGGAGCTGACTGTGGCTCAGATCATGAACTCCTTATTGCAAAATTCAGACTTAAATTGAAGGAAGTAGGGAAAACCACTAGACCATTCAGGTATGACCTAATCAAATCCCTTATGATTATACAGTGGAAGTGACAAATAGATTCAAAGTATTAGATCTGATAGACAGAGTGCCTGAAGAACTATGGATGGAGGTTTGTGACATTGTACAGGACGCAGTGATCAAGACTATCCCTAAGAAAAAGAAATGCAAAAAGGCAAAATGGTTGAGGAGGCCTTACAAATAGCTGAGAAAAGAAGAGAGGCTAAAGGCAAAGAATAAAAGGAAAGATATACCCATTTGAATGCAGAGTTCCAAAGAATAGCCAGGAGAGATGAGAAAGCCTTCCTCAGTGATCAATGCAAAGAAATAGAGAAAAACAACAGAATGGGAAGGACTAGCGACCTCTTCAAGAAAATCAGAGATACCGATGGGCACAATAAAGGACAGAAATGGTACAGACCTAACAGAAGCAGAAGATATTAAGAAGAGGTGGCAAAAATACACAGAAGAACTGTACAAAAAAGATCTTCATGATCCAGATAACCATGATGGTGTGATCACTCACCTAGAGCCAGACATCCTGGAATGTGAAATCAAATGGACCTTAGGAAGCATCACTACAAAGCTAGTGGATGTGATCGAATTCCAGCTGAGCTATTTAAAANATAAGAGACAGGGAGACTAAAAATCTGGCTTAAAACTCAACATTCAAAAAACTAAGATCATGGCATCTGGTCCTATCACTTCATGGCAAATAGATGGAGAAACAACAGAAACAGTGAGAGATTTTGTTTTCTTATGCTCCAAAATCACTGCAGATGGTGACTGCAGCCATTAAATAAAAAACAGCTTGCTCCTTGGAAGAAAAGCTATGACCAATCTAGAGAGCATATTAAAAAGCGGAGACATTACTTTGCCGACAAGGGTCTGCCTAGTCAAAGTTCTGGTACTTCCAGTAGTCATGTGTGGATGTTGAGAGTTGGACCATCAAGAAAGCTAAGTGCTGAAAAACTGATGCTTTTGAATTGTGGTGCTGGAGAAGTATCTTGAGAGTTCCTTGGACTCCAAGGAGATCAAACCAATCCATCCTAAAGAAAATCAGTCCTGAATATTCACTACTTTGGCCACCTGATGCGAAGAACTGACTCACTGGAAAAGACCCTGTGGGAAAGACTGAAGGCAGGAGGTGAAAGGGACAACAGGATGAGATGGTTGGATGGCATCACTGACTTGTTGGACATGAGTTTGAGCAAGCTCCAGGAGTTGGTGATGGACAGGGAAGCCTGGAGTGTTGCAGTCCATGGGGTGGCAGACACAACTGAGCAACTGAACTGAATCTCCCAGTTCATTCAAGCCCTTCTTCTCCCCCTACCACCCATGTCCACATCCAATCTCAGTTTCTATTCTTATCATGCAAATAGCTCCATCTATGTTATTCTTCTAAATTACACATGTGCATTGGATTGTTATATTTGCATATTTCTGATAATTATTCAAAAATATTTATTCCCCTTATCTCTGTGAGTATACTTTTCTTTGACTTGGGACTTGCCATTGACTTGCTCTAGCCGATGGAATGTTACATGACATGATCAAAGGTTTGAAGAATTTTTGTGCAACCGGGCTTACTATTTTGTACCTCTGCCATTTTCCTAAGAAAAATATGCTCAGGCAGGTCCACAAGTATCAATAATAGGAGAGACACATGGGGCAGAGTCACCCAAGCTAGATCCCCCCAGCCAGGATCAGTCGGTATCAGCTAACCACCAACCAACTCACAGATCCATAGGCAAGCCCTGCCAAGACCAGCCATCACACCCAGCTGAGTCCAGCATAGATCAGCTGACCCTAACCAACACACAAAAATCTAGTGAAAGAAATGCTTGCCTTTATATGTCCCTAAGATGTTCTGTTTATAAAGAAACAGCTGACTGATACACATTTATACATTGGTATTGGGTTAACAATATAATGTATACTGCAGTAGGTAACAAGAGGCGTGAAAGCCACTGGTCTAGAAGAGCACCATGTTTCTCTTGTATTCCTTGCTATTTAATGAACTTAAAGGAAGTTCCTGTTTGGGAGTGGCTGCTTGCAGTAATAAAGAATGAAGGTAAACAGAAAACAGAGCTGAGAGACGAGAAATGAAGTGTGTGTGGTAGGTTTGGGAAGAGACAGAGACTTAACAGCAACAAGCCTTTATTTTATATTGAGGTCCCTAAAATTGACTATGGTGCTTTTTCTTTTGAGCAACTTTTCTCAAATTCTAATCAATACAATGTGTGTGTTACTTGCTCAGTTGTGTGTCTTTGTGACCCCATGGACTGTAGCCCACCAGGCTCCTCTGTCAATGGAATTCTCCAGGCAAGGATACTGGAATGGGTTGCCATTCCCTTCCCCAGGGGACCTTCCCAACCCAAGGATCAAAACCAGACCTCCTGTATTGCAGGTATATTCTTTACTGTCTGAACCATTTATTAATACTATGAAGCCCTGGTTTTCACACTGGCATATATCCGTTGTTTACAATCTACCTCCTTGTAGTATTCTTAGTTTAAATCACATATAAAATTAAATACTGGAAACAAAGATTTTTCTTCACAATTTAATTCAACCTAGAGTACCTTCCTGGAGAAGGCAATGGCACCCCACTCCAGTACTCTTGCCTGGAAACTCCCATGGACAGAGGAGCCTGGTAGGCTGCAGTCCATGGGGTCGCTAAGGGTTGGACACGACTGAGCGACTTCACTTTCACTTTTCACTTTCATGCACTGGAGAAGGAAATGGCAACCCACTCCAGTGTTCTTGCCTGGAGAATCCCAGGGACGGGGGAGCCTGGTGGGCTGCTGTCTATGGGGTCGCACAGAGTCGGACACGACTGAAGGACTTCACTTTCATGCATTGGAGAAGGAAGTGGCAACCCACTCCAGTGTTCTTGCCTGGAGAATCCCAGGGACGGGGGAGCCTGGTGGGCTGCTGTCTATGGGGTCGCACAGAGTCGGACACGACTGAAGGGACTCAGCAGCAGCAGCAGAGTGCCTTCCTACCCTACCCGTTATCATTACATCTCTCTCTATAAAATAGTAAAGGCTTCACAGAGGCCTCAAATATAATTAGAACACTTTTGTTTCAAAATGCAATTCATGGCCCAGAAGTAATGAGAATAATTTCTAATAATTGTCTCAACTCCCATTATTATAAATTTTACACTTGACATGTCTTCAGTACTCCACGTTAAGGTGGCTACCTCCCAGATGAGGGTCACACGAGTGAGCACTGTGGGGTGAGTCACCCGCAGCCAGGGACGGGAGAGGAGGTGAAGAAAGGCCTCCTGAAGACCAACACAAACATCCCCAGCGTTTGGAGCTGGTACAACTAGCACGTGTTACAGAAGCTACAGTCACAAAACAGTGAAGGTTATCACCCTAAGAATAGTGAAGTAAGAAGACAATCTGCCTTCCTTCTTCTTCTTTCTCCCTGGACTCACTTCAAAGGTCTGGGGAATGAGGAGTGGAGAGTCCCATACCTACTGCAAATCCCACAGATTTGGCCTACACCAAATAGAATCAAATTACTCTACAACAGAAAGTAATGGAGTTAGATCAAGATGTATCAATAGGGGGAAAAAACATGTACGCAAAAGGGAGACTTTCTGACAGCTACCCTTTAAAAATTCTGTTTACATCCTAATAAATTGAAATTCTTTGGGGAACCTGTTCCTTTAAACTGTTATCTCTGGGAATATTTCTATCCAAATAAGGGATTATTGTATAGATTCCAGTTGCCATCTCCTTGGTCAGCTTTGGAGAAGCTCTTTGATTTTATTTCTAATCTCTATTTTAATAATATTAATTAACATCTGAATATTTACTATGTGCCAATGACTGTGTTTTTATCAATGTCTAAATGCCAAGTTTACATATTATTCTATACATTATATTTAGATTACTATCTCCAACCTCCAATTTATTTTAGGAGCCCCTAATCTCATCCGACTGAGTGACTGAACTGAACTGAACTGAATCTCATGAGCAGCATGTTTTTGAAACATTTTCAAGTTACTTTCTAAAATTATTCCCACAAATCAGTCTGGTGTTAGTTTGTATCCATTTCAGAGGTTGACACTTTCAATCTTACCCCCAGATCTATAGATTACCTCACAACTTGGATCCTACTGTTCTCTATAGACTGATTTTAACGAGTGTTCTTTCAAACACCTTTTTTAAATAAGAAAAATTGATTTGTGAATTCTCTTTTATAATTTGTGAAACCAAGAGAAAGTGAATGACTTAGTAAAGGATACTTTGTATCAGGGAAGTGTGTTACTCGCTCAGTTGGCCCTACTCTTTGTGATTCCTTGGACTGCAGCCCACCAGGCTCCTCTGTCCATGGGATTTTCCAGGCAAGGATACTGGAGTGGGTTGCCATTTCCTTCTCCAGCAGATCTTCCTGACCCAGGGATCGAACCTGGGTCTCCTACACTGCAGGCAGATTCTTTTCTGAGTGAGTTACAGGGGACAGAGTTAAAATGTAAACTTTAAATTGTCTAGCGTTTTTCTTTCTTATCGAAAGTTAGCCAAACAAATCATTAAAAAATCATGTTTGTATGATTTAGACAGTTGGCAAAACTGTTTAAATCACCTACTTTTAAAGACTGTATACACATTTAAACGTAATTCTCCTAGACAGATAACAATCAATTTTTAAAGACATGGAAATTTCAGTCTTCCATGAACAATTACAGAACTAAAATATTCTTCTAGAAAATGCTCGTTACAGCTAACGGCAAAATTCATTCATTAAACAAACATGCATTGTGCACAGGTATTGTACCCAATGCTGAGAATATAAATTAAGACACTGTTACTGCCCTTAAAGAGAAATTCCACTTAACAAAGGTACAAATGTCCACAGTCAAGTCATATAATGTGCTAGGTAAGAAAGTGAGAAATCAAAAAGCTCTCAAAAGGTTCAGGTAAACTAAAACAAGTCAGGTGAAATTAAATGGCAGTAGAGTCAAATTCATTTACTGATTGTGGGGGTGGGGGGAGGAGAGGGGAAAAAAGGAAATTAAAAAATCTACATGAGTCCAAGTAGGGAGAGACCAGGCTAAACAATAGCAAATGTAAAAGCCAGGAGAATGCAGTTGATTTCAGATTTAGTAACCATGTTCCCAAGAAAGCTAATTTTAGGATGGATTCATAAAATAAGGTGCAAAGAAAAGGGGACCAAGTACTTCCCATTGACTTTGCAGCAAGTACCTCTCACAGTGTCGCAGGTGTCTTAAGTACACATTAGAGCATGTTAACAGGACGATGGAAGAGGCGAAGGATCTGAAAACCTTATCACTGAAGACTTGTTAGAGAATGAGGTATGTTTACCCTAAAAGCCAAAGGAGGACATGTTTTCAAACATTTAAAGGATCTGTGTGACAGAGCTTGCGAGCGACCCTTTCAACACTCATTTTTCCCTCATCCTTATCTACAGAGCCCTGATTTTTAGTAGAGCACTTTGATGGTCCCCAGCCTCCCTTGAGGTTAGTGGGCCATGTAACTGAACTCTGACTATTGATAAATCAACAAAAGTGGTGTGGTACTCTCAGAAAATCTCCTTCAAGAGAAGGGGTGTGCCCTTCTGCCTTTCTTCCTGTCCTGCTGTGAGGAGTGTCATCCTGATTACTGGCCATCCAGCAGCTACTTTGGAACACAAGGGCGAAAGTAACAAACCAGGAACAGTGAAGCTGTGGCAAAGGAGCCCGGGTGCCTGACAACTTCATGGCAGTTGTCATTTCAGCCCAGGACTTTCTACTTCTGGATATTTTTATATGAAAAGAAATAAATTTTCATTTTGTTTAAGACACTCTTATTTGAGGTTTCTCTTACATGTAGTTGAACTTTAGGTACCAAAAAAAGGATATTTTCTAAGACTCAGGCATCTTTAAAAAATGAAATGATCCGCTTTGTGACACAGTTACCTATCTTCATACCTGTTCGAATGGAGGCTGTAAGACAAGCATCAGAAGTGGTAAGCATTCCAGGGGGTGAAGAAAAAGTGGGTTACCAGACCTCTAAATTTCCTGTCAGTTCTGAAGATTAAATGATTTCCCCCCAACTTCTCACTTGGGGATGATCAGTGGCTCTAAAAAACAAACAGACAAAAAAAACACCGATCCTTTTTCCCCTTGAAAACATATTTGGACTATGCCCGCTAGACTCAGCCCTACACTGAGTAAGCAGCACAGTGGTGGGCAGTGTTCTGGCTATGCTGCCTGACTCTTATCTTGCAGTTAAATTTATTCCAAGACAGGCACCTCTAAAGTAAAACTAAAGGAGAACCAAAGAGCAAATCAATAAACTCTTCAGCAAAATTGTTGTCATAAAGACAATCATCAGCCTGGAAATGAATAAATCAGGATCTCTGTGGAGATCCTTCCTGTGTGCCTAGTGTAGTTGGTTAATCAAGATGTAGCCCACAATCACCACCCTGCTTAATTTTGTTTCCTTTTATGAAATGAGGGTAACACCCTTATCCCCTTTCCATCTTTCCTCTTCCATTCTGTTCTCCAATTTCTAACAGCTGTAACTTTACTTCATTTCCCTTGTTACACTGTCTTCATATTACTGTTCTGTAATTATCATTACCTGTGCTTTGTCTATTAAGTGTTTCTTTAAACATTTATTTCCTTGAAACAGTAATACACACACATGGCAGGAGTCCAATTTTGAACAGAACACACAAGAGATAAAGTCTCCCTTTCATCTCAGAGTCTGACATCCCCATCTCTTGAGATAAACAGTTTTCATGCACTCTTGAGAAATAAGCTGAAGATGCCTGTTATTGTTAAGCTGGCTTAAGTTGAGTCCAACTCTCTTGTGATGCTGTGGAATGTAGCCCGCCAGGCTCCTCTGTCCATGGGATTTCCCAGGCAAGAACACTAGAGTGTGTTGGCCATTTCCTTCTCCAGGGGATTCTTCCCGACCCAGGGATTGAACCCACATCTCCTGTGTTACACATTGCAGGTGGATTCTTTTCTGCTGGGCCCTAGGAAAGCGAACATGTAAAGGCAGCTATATGTGTACTCGTTAAGTATTTTCTAGACACACTATTTTATCTTTTACATTTAGGTCCACAAGCTATTTTGCTGTTGTTCAGTTGCTAAGTTGTGTCCGACTCTTTGCAACCCCATGGACTGCAGCATACCAGGCTTCCCTGTGTTTCACCATTTCCCAGAGTATGCTCAAACCCATGTTCATTGAGTTGGTGCTGCCATCCGCCCATCTTGTCCTGTTACCCCTTCTCCTGCCCTCAACCTTTCCCAGCATCAGGGTCTTTTCCAATGAGTTGGCTCTTTGCATCAGGTGGCCAAAGTATTGGAGCTTCAGCATCAGTCCTTCCAATGAATAGTCAGAGTTGAGTATGCACCAAGTATATTCAAATAACCCAGCATCATTTATTCAAACATCCAATTTTTTTTTCCTCATCACTACAGCATCACCTTTGCAAAATTAAAATGTTCACATAAGCATCTGTCTGGGAACCCTATTCAGTTCCATTGGTCTACTTTCTAACATCTGATAGTATAAATCCCCCAACATCATTCTTGTTCCAGATTGTCTTGGCTGTTTTTGATTTTTAGAATTTCCATATACATTTAAGGCTCAGCTTGTCAATTCACTCACACATACAATCTGCTGGGATTCTAGTAGGGATTAGACTAAATCTATATAGATCATTTGGGGAGAACCGACACCTTTACAATATTAAGTCTTCTGAACCATGAGCACAGTATCTATCCAGCTACTAACACTTAGGTCTTCTCTAACTTCTATCAAAACACAATTTCCAGTACAGACTTCTTATACCTCTTTCATTAAAATTTATTCCTAGCTGCAGTGGGCTGGATGGTGCACCAAAGACATTAGGGCCTAATCCTTGGAAACTAAAATGTTTATTTGGAAAAAGCATCTTTGCAGATATGATTAAGGATCTTGAGACAAGGAGATAATTCTGGATTATCCAGGTGGGCCATACATGCCAGCAGTCTCTATATAACAATGTGCCTGCATGCTAAATCACTTCAGTCACGTCTGCCTCTTTGTGGCCCTATAGACTGTAGCCCGCCAGGGTCCTCTGTCCATGGAACTCTCCAGGTAAGATTATTGAAGTGGGTTGTCATTCCCTTCTCCAGGGGATCTTCCCACTCAGTGATCTAACCTGCATCTCTTTTTGTCTCCTCACTTGTAGGTGGGCTCTTTCCCACTAGCACCATGTAGGAAGCCCCCTATATAACAGACAAGAGGAAAATTCTAGACACACAGAGAGAAAGCAACGTGAAGATGGACACAGAGGTTAGAGTGACTGTGGCTTCAAGCCAAGGAATGCCAACAGACAACAGAAACTGGAAAAGGCAAGGAACAGATTCTCCCCCTCAAGCCCCTTGAGGGAGCTTGGCTAACACCTCAATTTCAGACTTTTCGTTTCTATAACTGTGAGAGGATGAATTCATTTTAAGCTATCATGCTTGTGATAATTTGTCACAGCTGCCACTGGAAACTAACATACTAGTTATTCAATATTTTTCGTGCATTCATATATGGTAAAACTTTAAAAAATTGATTTCTTAATTGCTTAGCAGTGGTATATAAAATTAACCTTTATATACTGACTGTATAAACTTGCTAAATTCATTAATACTAACACTTTATAAATTTTATATAGACTATTGTACTTTTTTCCAAACAACAGGTTGATGTATTTCTTTCTAGTGCTTGTATTACCTTGCCTTTTTACAGTCACTGGGATGCCAGTACAACAGTGAACAATTATATCTCTTTAGACGTTTTGAATTTGTAACTAAGAAAATGTAATGTCTGTTTCAAGGTTAAAATATAAATAATATTAAAAAATTTTAATATAGTAAAAAAAAGCAGTCAAACAAAATAATCAACAGCCTTCTAGTTAACAAATCCAAAGGCCTTTTCTTAAACCCCTCTCATGACTCTGCATCCTTTGACATTGTTTATGATCCCCTCTTAATGCTTGTTTCTTCCTTGCTCAGATTCTTTTTTTCTGCCTCTAACCACTTTTATAGACATTCCTCAAATTTTCTTAGGGCTTTTCTCTGTCTATACTGTCTTTGTTAACTGTTGGGATATCATTTTAAGGCCTGTGATTATTCTTCAGAACTCTTCTCTTCTTGTTTTTCCTTCTTTTAAATGCCATACTCAAACACCCATTCTTCTCCCCAGAGAAATGCAGTATTCCCTGCAGAACTCAAGGAAATTGTGAATTCGTCCCACTTTAAGGGTTTTAATAAACAGAAGTGAGTTACAGAAGTTCCCAAACCTTCACAACATTTTAGTCCTTGATCTACAGACAGAAACTCCTTTCTGAAAAGTGGCTGAAAGGTGTTGGAATGCTGGGGTGTTAGAAAGCTGGTTGGCCAAGCAGCTTCAGAGTGATATTTATCTTTGTGAATTCACTCAGTTTAGGGTCTGGCCTTTGTGTTACAAGACCAGAGATGCTGAATCATGATCATTAGAACTTGTGTATGAAAACCAAAATACCAATGTGCTAATTCACACACTGTGAAATATAACTGTCAAGGTAAATGAATGGCTATTCATTTTATTTGGCCAAAATGTTCTCTCCCTGCAGAAAAAATTATATGGGAATTAAAATAACATTTACAACTGTATTTGTTAAGAAAGGAAATAGAATAAAAGATTTAGTTGTAAGCTTCAAATATTTAATGGAATATCAGGTTTTGATTAGAGAGATGAAACTACCTCTACCACCAGAACCAGACAGGTTTTTGTACCTGCTCAGGAGACTTTCCCCTTTAGACTGGGGACCCTGACAAATATTTACCTCCCAGGCTCTTTCCCGGCTCAATTCCTGATTTACACGTTCCTCCTTTAGGGATGTTATTTCTTCCAATGAAGACTGTTTCTAGCCAGAGAGGCTTCTTTCCGGTTTGATCCATTCTGCATTGATCTATAATAGAAATCTTACAGGACAATTTTAAGTGTTTGACAAATACCTTACTGTGGATCTCAAAACACCGATCTGCATACATCTGCGTACTAAATGTTCACAAGAAATCCTCATTTCTACTTACTGGTGAGCCAAAAAAAAAAAAAAAGCCAACATTTTTTTTAAACGAAGAAAACCCTAAGTAGCCCCCCAAGGCCAGGCAGCCTGGCACACAGCAGATGTCCTCAAATCTGGTGAACGAAAAATGCAGTTCCTACTCCTCGTGCCTAACGCAATTCAGGAAAGCATTACAGAGCAAATCGCCTGCCAGGCTGGAAACCCCGCTAGACTGCAGCTCTGGGCTCACCTCCGCTCGGGGCCTCCGCCCTCTCCAGAGCTCGGCTCCAAGCCTCGACCGCAGGTCAGCGCGCTGAGAAAGCGCCAACTGGGCGAAGATCCCGTCCCAGTTTTTATTTCAACACGGACAACGCCCACTCCCCTAAGTAATGATACAGAAAAGACGAACAAAAGAAAGGAAAAGGTGAGACAAGGACGACTGAGAAAAACGGCTTTTAAAAACAAACAAAACACTGTTTGGTGATATACAGTTGCATTGTTCGATACTGGAAACTCATTTCGGCAGCCTCAGCCTCTCCAGGAAATCAGGCCCCAGTTCGAGGTGCACATCACACAAACTCCCGCGTCCAGAGAGTTAGGACCGGGCCCAATCCTTCAGCTGCCAGGGCCTCGGATCCACAAGGCCGGGCCTCGGATCCACAAGGCCGCCCCGCTCCGCCGCCCGACTCCACCGCGAGCAAGCGCGCTTCTCCACCTCGAAGCAGGCGGTGAAGCCCTGAATCCCGGCGGCCGACCCTCCGCTGCATCTCACAGAGCCGCGCTACCGCGACTCCCCCCTCAAAAAAGATGAAAGGGGCGGGGGCTGCTCCCGGGACTCTGAGGCCTCGGGTCAGCGACGATCCTTCCCTCAGGCCGACCGCGTTCCTTCCGCCCTGAGAGGGCAAAAGAGTCCCGAGGCCTCGCGCGCGCGCCTCCGCCCGCGCTCCACAGCGCCCCCTAGGAAGGAAGCCCGCGAGGCGTCCCCCTCCGCCCTCCCCCGCCCGGCGGCCGGAACCTCCCTGCGGGGCGGAGTGATACCGGCGGCGGCGTAGAGCGCGGCGCGGCCGAGAGGGGCGGCGGGAGGAGGAGGAGGGGAGAGAGGCGGGGCCGGGGCGGGTTGTTGTGAGGCGACTGCGCTACTGCCGGACCGGGGCGGTTATGGCGGCTCCATATTAACACCCTCCTCCTCCTCCGCCGGCGCCGCCGTCTCCTCCTCCTCCTCCTCTCCTCTCCCGCCCGCGCTCGGAAGCCATCTCCCCCTTCTCCCCCTTCCCCCTGACGCCTACCTCTTCCCCCCTCACCTTTCCCCCTCCCCTCTTCTACCATGCCCGGCATGATGGAGAAAGGGCCCGAGTTACTGGGGAAGAACCGATCGGCCAACGGCAGCGCCAAGAGCCCAGCGGGCGGCGGCGGCGGCGGCGCCTCGTCCACGAACGGCGGGCTGCACTTCTCGGAGCCCGAGAGCGGCTGCAGCAGCGACGACGAGCACGGTGGTAGCCTCGAACTCCTCCCCGCCGGCCCGCCTCATCTCCTTTTCTGGGACTGGTTTAGGGTGGAAAGGGGTAGAGGGCGGACGGGCGGGGTTGGGGTCCGGGTGTGCGGTTGGCAGGAGACGTGGGGCTGGGATGGGCAGGCATCTGGCAGGAGGCTGTCATGTCACGCTTGGCAGGGCTGTGACACAGGGCGTGTGGGCAGATGCGTGCCTTGCAAGGTTAACATGGTTCCCCTGGAGGCCACTTGCCCGCTGGTGGCATTCACCTTTCCACCCGCCTTGATCCCGGAGTGAGCGGAGGGAGACGGCCCTCGGCGGAATCGAGGGGTCGGGGGCCGGGGGTGGAGCGGCTGCGGGCCCCAGAGCTGGAGGAGAGGGTGTGCGGGCTGTGTGTGGTAGAACCGTGCAGATGTCAGTGGCTTCCCGACCCAGCCCCCGGGAGCCCAGGGCCGCGCTCCGCCCTGGCGGCGATCCCCGGCGGCTGTCACCGGCCGAAGCCGAGGGCGAGCCCTGCCTGACCCGCGCTCACACACACGGGATTTTCTTTATTTTATTTTCTTTTTTTCTCTCTTTTTTGGCTAGGTGGTGTAGCTTTGGTGGCGACCGCTTTGCGGAGTAGGAGCCGCGGAGCGAAAGGGATTGGGGGAAGGGGGTGGGGAGAAGCCAGAGGCACACCTCGCTCCAGAGCCAGCCCCGGGGAAGTGAGACCGCAGGACAAGTGACCGCAGCTGCCAAGGAGACATTTTCTCCCCAAGCAGCCAGGTTCCAGCGTCCTCTGCCAGCCCGGCTTGCGGGCTCCCTGGCTACTTTTCTCCAAACAGGCTCCCTGGCGGTCACGGGATCTCAGCCTGGACGGGGATTGGGCGAGAGTTCCGCATATGGAGGCGCCCTTGTTGGAGCCTCTCGGAGTGGAGCGTGTCTCCTCCTCCCCACCCCATCCCAGACCCTCTTCCGTTCAGGCTTTGGGCAGACTTGGAAGGGTTTTGTTACCCCCCTCAACCCACCACCTCTTGCACTTGGTCAGTTCCTTGCCCATTGCCCACTTATAGTAATGTCGTGTCTGTGTCGAACTCTTGAATTCTGTATTAGATATTAATGGGGCTTACTTGTATTTTCTTAGGGAAGATTGCATGTTTCTTTGCTTGTGGTTTATCCATGGGTATTTTCATTCTTCTGCCCATTGCTGCGATGCAAAGTGATATTTACCAACCGTTTAAGGATGTTTAGGGTTTAGGCAGCTCTTCTAGTCCTAAAGGAAAAGGTAAAATAATGAGAGGGTAAAATAGAAGGATTGTCAGTGCAGGCTATTTTTCACTAGGTAAAAACAATGATACAGGAGTGCTTACTAGGTCAGAGTTGCCTTCTAAATGACATGACTCTTAATAAATTTTATTCAAAAGCTATCAGTGTGTGTGCTGGAGGGCTTCAAATAATTTTAAATGTTGTGAAACAAATTTTATTAATGTAGCTAGTAGGTGAATAGCGCTTCCACATGACTGCTGCCTCGGATTTTAGCTTAACATTTGGAAGCTTACTCTGGCTTAAGACAGACTGAATTAATCACTCAGGTCTTGACCCTCCATAAACCTCAGTTTCCCTAGCTATAAAATGGAAATAAAAATAGGGAATTCTTGCTAAGGTTATATGAGTGGGCAAATGGCAGTACTCTTTGGAGGTTAAATTTAAATTACCATTATTAAATTATCATTCCTCTTAATGGTGAGGAATGATTCTGCATATCTTTATATCTTTCTGATTTGGGGCTTTCCTTGGCTTACTGCTTTTTTTAGGAATTGATAAACTTATTTCCCAGTTAGAACTCAGCAGCATAATAAACATGGCTTATTGTCCCATTATTGTGTCCCAAATAGACACAAGTTGATGAGGGGTCTTTGATGAGGGGTCTTGTGTTAAAAGAGCTGGACTTCATGCTGAAACAGATGTGTGCATGCCATGACCTGTTCCCTGTAGCAATTTTGGGAACAGATTTCAAGCAAAGGATTACTAGAGCCAATTTTAAAGTTAGAAAAATAGCTCATTTAAAGTGCAGAGTACTTTTTATGTGGTTTCACATGGCCACTATTTCTATTACCCAATTTCCTTGATCATCATATTTTTGCATATTTTGCCTAAGTAGAATATTTGAGGGAAAAATCACAAATATTGCAATTTTTAAAGTTACATTTTCACTAAGTTTACTCAGACTCACTGATCCTTTTTATTAGAATAAGGACAGATGTCATATTCTTTAAATTCATCTGCAGACATGCCTCAGAGATGTGAGTTTGATTCTAGACTACTGCAATAAAGCAAATGTCACAATAAAGCAAGTTATATGAATTTTTTGTTTTCCCAGTGCATATAGAAGTGTACAATGGCATTAGGTCCAGAAATGCAATGTACATACCTTAAGAAATGCATTATTGCTAAAATATGCTAGCCATCATCTGAGCTTCCAGGGAGTTGTAGTTTTTTTGCAGTAGTAGCATCCAGGATCACAGATCATCATAACTGTAATAATAATGAAAAAGTTTGAAATATTGCAAGAATTCCCAAACTGTGGCACAGACAAGAAATGAGCAAATACTATTGGAAAATAGTGCTGATAAACTTGATTGACACAGGCTTGCTGTAAACCTTCAATTTGTTAAAAAAAAAAAAAAAAAAAACCTTCACAATAGCTGTGAAGCACAATAAAATGAGGTATGTTTTTATTCATTTTATCCTCAATAGTCTGCAGAATATTGAACCCAAGGGCACAACTAAAACCAGTTATCTAAACTTAGATGGGCTTTTCTGTAGTTATAGGCAAATTTTGTCAAGCAAATGTAGACTATCATTATTAGACATTTTTTACAAGGCAATTTTGAGTCTCTGTGCTGTTCGACATGGCACACTGCTCTATCTTATTCTAAGTGTTTGTGCTGTTGTGTGAAGTTTTTACTCCATATCAATTCAATACCATTGGGTCATAACGTCACATATTTCTTTGGAAGAGAAGAAAAATGGAAAGGTATTTATTAATTAATGATAGAAGTTGAGAAATGGTCAGCTCCTCTCCTTTTCTCTTTTACATACTATTGTCTTTAGTCTTATAAACCACTCAGTCTGTCTTCATGATTGCTCACCCATAGCCATCCAAGTCATTTGAAAGAAAAATTTCTTAGATACCAAGATTAGTATGATCAGAATAGAGGAAAATTAAAAGAGGATTTTTTTCATGGAGGATATTTTTACTGGAGGAGATGATTGTGGTGATGATAGAAATTAAGCACAGAAAGAATAACTAAAATGAGTGTTTTAGAAAACATGAGTGAACTGAGACTTAAATTGAAATTCCTGGTGTTAGAGGTTAGAAACAGTTTATGTTAGTTAACAGACCATTGCTAACTGCCTTTATAAAAATTTACTAAGCAGATTTTTTATTCTTTTTGTGTGTGTGTGTGACTCCTTTCCTTTTGATTATTTGCTAGGCCGTCCCAACTTTTCTTTAGTGCCTTCTGACTATACTTACGTCATGAGGAGCAGTTTTGTGTGGTGATTGAGAGTCTTACCTCTTATCATATGCCTTTTAGCCACTATGGCATTGTGACCTTGGATGAACTGAATGTGTCCAGGCCTTAGCTTTCTTATTTGTGAAAGGAAGATAATAATAACTCTATTATACGGTTAAGTAAAAATTAGTGTGTATCACCAAGTTGATGGACATGGATTTGAGTGGGATTTGGTGATGGACAGGTAAGCCTGGCGTGCTGCAGTCCATGGGGTCACAAAGAGCCGGACCCAACTGAGCTGAACTGAGTGTATATAAGGCAGTGGCCTTCAAAATATTTTGTTGCATACTCAAAAGAAATTTGAAAAATAGATTCACATATTTTTAAGTTGACATCTGTTATTTGTCATTGAGTTTATTAGTTGAAAGATATAATTTCCAGTGTTAACACTGGAAATAGAGTTGTTATAAACTTATTTTAAACACATCCAATTAAATGTAAATACTCTAGTAATGTGGTAGGATCTATTTTATAAAATGTATAAATTTTTGTAATTTCCATGCATTTTCCTCACAATTTTATAAAACATTTTTGTTCTTAAAAGTGTTTTATTGATCACCTGTCCAGTTTCTGTACTATCATGTACTCTTGTGAACATAAGGTTCTAAATGTTTAATTCTTCTGTCTGGAGTTATTACAATCATGCATGATTAAGTAAGATTGTAATAGTCATGGTAACTTGAGTAAAGGAGAGTTTTACTGATATTTTGTTGGGCAACATGGTGGTTTTTAAATTTTAGGCAATGTACTCTTGTAAGATTTGGGTTGTGTGAGAGACCTGCCTTTTTTTCCTTTTTCTCTTTTGAGTGAGGGAAGGACATTTGTGAAGAAGAAGGTCAGAAGTAGCTTAAGTGTATAGCTTAGACTGAAGGTGACTTCTCAGGCAGGTTGTCTTGGAAAAGAAAACAGGGAAGTTGATGCTCTGAAAATTGGTTCTCAGAAGACTTATTCTTGATTGTGTACCCCTTGGAAAGTTGTTGTTTACCTTAGTTTGAAATTGATGAATTAAGTATATATAGTTCAGAGCCTAGTTTATAAACAGAGTTAAAAAAATTTGGAGTGTCTTATTGATCTCAGTATTTAAGTTCTTTATATAGAATATTTGTTCCATGATTTCCATCAAAATCCTTAGTTTGACTGTCTTAAAGGAAATCTGAAAAGAGATAGATTTATATTTTTGTACTTTCTTTGAAACTTGCTATTGGTATAGAAATCCTAATCGAAATGTCTTTTGTTGTTAGTTTTCCCCAAATTGGTCTCATACATGTACTTTACCTACTGTAGTTAAGGGGCTCTGAAAGACTTCAGGAGGATTGAACTTCTTTGGTTATTCAGTCACTCAGTCGTGGCAACCCCATGGACTGCAGCGCTCCATACTTCCCTGTCCAACACCAGCTCCTGGAGCTTACTCAGACTCATGTGCATAGAGTCGGTGATGCCATCCAACCGTCTCATCCTCTGTCGTCCCCCTTCTCTTCCTGCCTTCAGTCTTTCCCAGCCTCAGGGTCTTTTTCAGTGAGTCAGTTATTCGAATCAGGTGGCCAAAGTATTGGAATTTCAGCTTCAGCATCAGTCCTTACAATGAATATTCAGGACTGATTTCCTTTAGGATGGACTGGTTGGATCTCCTTGGAGTCCAAGGGACTCTCCAGTCTTATCCCAACACCACAGTTCAAGAACATCAATTCTTCTGTGCTCAGCTTTCTTTATAATCCAACTCTCACATCCATCCATGACTACTGGAAAAACTATAACTTTGACTAGATGGACCTTTGTTGGCCCTTGAGGTATAATCATAAACATTTTTACAGGTAAAAGCAAAGTAAGCATTTGGTTTATGTCCTTTAAATATTTGGGTTTACTTCAACTTTTATGATGGAAAGGGTAAGGCTTTACTGAATGCAAGTCATCCTGAGAGGTAAATTGTTTTTAATCATGCAAGTTACTTTCTGTTACTCTTTATAGGAGAGGAATCAGGCTGAGTTGTCAGTAAAACAAAATAAGTCATTTTAGCTATTTAGTCTTATTTTCAAAGGGTTGGTAACAGAGGTCATCAGCTGTTTGAGTTAGAGCCCCATGAGATTTTATTCATTTATATTTTTGATTGATAAGAAGAAGCCTTTCCAGTGTAGACTAAGAATGGAACTTAAAGAACTATCTTCAGTAAGTATATAGTAGTAATGACAATAAGTCTTAGGTAGTGCTTATCATATGCCAAGTCCTTTACACATATGAATTCACTTCATTTTTAAACTACTTTGTGAAGAAGGTGCTCTCATTATCCCTATTTTTAAAGATAGGTTAAACTGAGGCACAGACAGTTAAATAAATTTGTTCAAGGTGTCAAAGCTAGGAAGTGGCAGAGCTGAGATTCACACCTGGAGATTGTCTCTATAGTGATTACTCTGTTAACCATTGTGCTAAAATATCTCTGGTTTCCTATAGACGTCAGTTATCTTTTGGTCCTACCTGGTCACATATATGATTGCAAATGGTGGCATCCAGTTCAAGAGCTAGGGCAAAAACATTATGAAATACCTAAGTAACCGTTCTCTGCCAGAGACGCGATTGTTACACACACGCACACACACTCTACCACCAGATGTGATTGCTACACACGCATGCACACACCATACACCTGCATTAGAAGAGATGTTAGTCCCCACAGTTTGGATGCCAGTTTCTGTCAAAGGATCTGGCTCTTAATTACAGTGATAAGAATTTATGAGGAAACTTAACTGTTCTTCATGAGCAAGAGTACAAAAAATAGTTTATATCAGTTTAAGAAGAGATATTTAATGAAAATATTTTAATTCAAGCTTTTTGTAATACAAGGATCAGATGCAAGGAAATATGTCTAAATATTAAGCATGTATGCTGGTTAGACTCAAGACTTAATGGAAACCTTTGTTGCATTCCATATTCTATTAAGTGGTATTTAAATTAGCATCACAATCTATTGTGAAAAAGAATCAGTCTCATATTAAAGGACTGAAGTTTAGGATACTCACTAGAAATAGCAGTAAGCATTAGCTGCTCAGTTGTGTCCAACTCTTTGCAACCCCATGGACTGTAGTCTGCCAGGCTCCTCTGTCCATGGGATTCTCTAGGCAAGAATACTGAAATGGGTTGTCATTCCCTTCTCCAGGGGATCTTCCCAACCCAGGGATCAAACCCAGGTCTCCTGCATTGCAGGCAGATTCTTTACCCACGGAGCCACCAAGGAAGCCCAGAAATAGCAATGCTGCTGCTGCTGCTAAATTGCTTCAGTCATGTTCGACTCTGTGCGACCCCATAGACGGCAGCCCGCCAGGCTCCTCTGTCCCTGGGATTCTCCAGGCAAGAACACTGGAGTGCGTTGCCATTTCCTTCTCCAATGCATGGAAGTGAAAAGTGAAAGTGAAGTCACTCAGTCGTGTCCGACTCTTTGTGACCCCAGAGACTGCAGCCCACCAGGCTCCTCCGTCCATGGTATTTTCCAGACGAGTACACTCGTCTGGAATGTGTTGCCATTGCCTTCACCAAGAAATAGCAATAAGATTTTATTAAATAAAGACTTCTAACCAACTTAGATAAGTTGTCTATTTCTGAGTGGTTTAACTTTGCTTTTGTGTTTTTGTTTTATGTGGTTAAATTAAATATATATCTTAATATTGGAGTTTTTAAAAGATAGCTTAAAATTTAATTTCATTGTATATAAATTTTAGATAATATCCTTCAAACTTGATTTTCTTAAATTCTCAATTCCTGTTTTCATCCTTTCGTTAAAGATACTTAGGACAAAATGCAGTAGATTTTCTTTTAGGTTTATATTTTAATTATTATTTTTTTAATACTTTTTACAGTATTCTTTTTTCTCCATCCCTAATTTTTTAGTAAACATACATAACAATTTTTAGCTTCAGTAAAGAACTACTGAATAATATTAAATTATTGCTTGATAGATGAAGTCTCTAGTTGGGAGTGTAGTAATAGTTATATTTACCCTTGGAAATGAATGGTTTTTATTCTGAATTTATTATTTATAACTTCATAAATGATTACAGTTTCACTTCAGATTTCTATTAATGTTTTCTATGAGTAATTTTGAAATTCTAGCCATTAATTACTGGTGGCTATCAACAGCTCATATGCTTTAATTAACTTGAATGCATCAAAGAATTAGGAAGAAGCCAGAAAAAGACCACCAAGTATTTAAAGACAGAACCTACTGGCATGGACTTGGCTCCGGGATAACTCTGTCAGGCCTTTTGTTCATTCTGTCTCATCTTAATTTATGTGCAGTTTCAATAGTGTTTGATTTTCCTGACTCTTTAGATTGTAACAAATAAATTATAAACAGCAGTAGTGTGCTTCTGGGTTAGGTAGAGGTAGTCTCTCAGATTACATTAAGAAGAAATAGCATTATTAACTTTACATGTTTTGACTTTGTTTTTCCCTTACACAGAGTACAAATGTTTGTAGATATAAGAAGTAATTAAATTAACTCTAAAAAGGAGTAACTGGCAGACTCCTAGCAAGGGAGTAAGATTAAATAAAAAGCAGATACAAGTGTTTAGAAATTATAATGATCTCGGTTCATTTAGATATGGGGCAAAACAATTATCACCTGAGGTATGGGCTTTTAAGTCAAGAGTTTTTAATAACTCCTAAGTAAGATACGGGCTTCTCTGGAATTTTTAATAATTCCTAAGTAGGAATTATTATTTAGACTTCTCTGGTGGCTCAGTGGTAAAGAATCCTGCAAATGTAGGAGATGGGGATTTGATCCCTGGTTCAGGAAGATCTCCTGAAGAAGGAAATGGCAACCCACTCCGATATTCTCGCCTGGAGAATCCCATGGACAGAGGAGCCTGGTGGGCTACAGTCCATGCGGTCACGAAAGAGTTGGACTTGACGTAGCAACTAAACAACAAGTAACGTATAGAAGATTAAATCAGATTTATTACCTGTTGAGAAATAGGGCTATAAAATATATGTTATAATAGAGTATTTTTTTTAATTTAAAGAGGGTAAGCTTCAGTGTTTCTGAAATTTTGTTCATATCCACAAATGATATATTTACTATACTTAGTGTAAATCTGTTTTTATTCTTTGCTTTTCTGTACTTTGTTTCTTGTCATCTTTTGCAGGTACTGTACTAAAATAGAAATAAAGCTTATTTTGCTTATACTTATTTTGAATGTGAATAAAGTTCATCATATTCAAAATAATTTTTTCCCCCAGGTGCTACAAAGTACACAGATAAAGACAATGGAGGAATGCTTGTGTGGTCTCCATATCATAGTATCCCAGATGCCAAATGTAAGTTTTTTGAAACAATGTCTATGTAAGTAGGGAATCAATCAACCAATTCAGAATGCAACTTATATTTGTTTTTGGATCTTTTAGATCTCATAAGAAATAGTTTGTCTTTGTTTTATTTTGTTTTTTGGATGGAGCTTGCTATGTTAGAATGTTTTTCCTTTTGAAAGATAGTGGGTTGATCATTCCAATTTGTGTCAGGCCCAGGAAGACTGAAAAAACCTAGGATCTGATGGCATTGCTGCTTAAATCCTGAAGCAGGGGAGGGAGTTACAATGTAGACATCTGCACAGGCTATTCCTCAGTATATGAAGCTGTAAAGAAATGCCTTCAAACTTCCAAGAGCCCACTATCATTACCATTTTAAAGAGGAAAGGGGAAAGAACTGACTTCAGCAGCCATCAATCAGGTCATCTTTGTGCTCTCCATTTCTGGACGGAGACCTTCTGGATCACTGACCATGCACTTCTTGAATCATGGTGTGGCTTTAGACTTCAATGTGATGTAGCGGACCTGATCCTTTGCGGCACATCAGATATAGGAAACGTGCAGGTAACAAAACTAAGATCCCCACCCCTCCACTCAATTATCATTTGATTTATTAAAACAAAAACCACTGAACAGCTATTTTAGCAGCTGTAAAATAAATTTGTCTTTTTAAAATATTTACCAAATCTCAAAAGATGTCCCATGCTGGTTTATTTAGTCCCATGAAAATTAACAATGTCCTATAAATCATGTGCACAGTATGTCATACTTATTAATGCAGTAAGAGAACTAAAAATTGAAAACTGTTATTTTGCATACCTGATAATTCTTCCTGTTTACAAGCTTCAGAATACCAGCAAAAAGTCTAGCTGGTAATCTAGGAATTAATGCCCTTGAGGTATTTGTAACTGAAAACACTAAATTGTATATTTTGTGTACTGAGGAACCTGAAAGAGATTGTCAGATTTTTTCAGTTTAGTCTTTCTTATAGGCAGATGCTTTCATTCATAAACTGAGCATCAGAGTGTCATTGTCTTTTGCCTTTTTAGCACTATTTTATATAATGGTGTATTTCTTAGCAAAGTGGAAAACAAAATTCAGAAAGCCAACATGTCCTGGCGGTGGTGCGTCCACCTCTATTATCCCAGTGAAGGTCTAGGGCAGTGGTTTTCATCCCTGGCTGTGCTTTGGACTTGCTTAGGGGAACTTTAAAAAAAATTTCTATTGATGTCTGGCCTCCACCTCAAACTAATTAAATCAGAAAGTTTAGGGGGTGGAGCCAGGACTTGCTATTTTAGAGCTCCTCTGCTGATCCTAAATGCATAGCCAAGGTTGAGAACCACAGGTTGATTGGTTTTATTTAACCTTCTATTTATAGGATTGCAGTACATTTTTGTTAATCAGCATGTATGTAGACCTGTCATATGTTGAAATACTATGAGTTCTAAATAGAAAATAGCATTTGGATTTTCTCCAAAGCTTGCAATCTTAGGGAGATGCAGTAACACCCATAAAAATTAGTTGTTAATCTAACAGCATTATTGTTACAATAGCATATTTATATATTAAACTGTACAGTACTATTAACATCAGCAAACTCTTAGAAAGTACTTAAAATGGGCCAGATGCTGCTTCAGGCACTTAACATATATTAGCTCATTTAATCCTAGGAGGAATAGTACTGAAAACAGTACTATTTTTATCACTATTTATAGTGAAGAAACTAAGGTACAAAAAGGTCAAGTTAATTGTTTAAAGTCCAAAAACAAGTGATAGCGCTGGGAATCAAGTCTTGGTAGACTAGCTATCTGTTCTCAGTTCAGAATTCTTAACCGCTGCTTCTCAAAAATGTGCTTAAAGAATTTATTTTTTTATATTGTATAGGATTAAGAAAGACTGCATAAAAATGAGTCCTAAATGTGAAATGCAGATTTCTCGGCAATAAGGCCTTGAAATTGCCTGTATATATATGTCATCATAGAAGCTGTGCTTATTTAAACAACTATTTGCTTGATTATAATAATTGAGAATGAAAGAAAATGGAATATATAGGTACCATTTGTATAGCTAGCAGGAGGAGCTGAAGAAAATTTTAGGCATACTGAAGCATGTTTAAATTGTTACTATACTGGCAAAACTATAGATAAACCATCCTTTATACAGTAATCAAATATGGGAAGGTAAAAGCTTTGGGAAAACTCTAAACATGAGATGAGGTCTTAAATAGCTAAGTCTCGTTAAATAAATATTGCAATAGAAGCTACCTAATATTTTACACTATAATTAGGCTCTGTTGGCTGACCACAGATTGGTCTTTTTATAATACAAAAATAATTAGTCATGTCAGTGAATTTAATAAGTATATGCTGTATGGTCATGGAGATAAGGCATACTAAGTAAAATTTTAAACCAAGTGAGCTTCTGATCTGTACGTAGAAGTGAAAGTCTTTTTTATAATGTCTTATGGAAAATGACTTTGGCTTTTTTTATCCCTAGAGTATAATTATTTTTAAATTTCGCTTTGTTAAAAAGCAAAGTCAACCTGATGAAGTAAATGAGAATAATTAATTATATAACACTGTTTCGTTACAGTGGATGAATATATTGCAATTGCAAAGGAGAAACATGGCTACAATGTGGAACAGGTATGTAGAGAAACATTTTAATATTAAGGTTTGCCTCAGTAATTATCAAATCCAGGAACATCTCATGATAGTTTCTGTCTTAAGAAAGTGCTTAAGTTCGACCAACTTTATGAAAGTGAAAGTGTTAGTTGCTCAGTCGTGTCAGACTCTTTGCGACCTCATGGACTGTAGCCCATCAGGCTTCTCTGTCTGTGGGATTCTCCAGGCAGGAGTGGGTTGCTGTTTCCTTCTGCCGGGGATCTTCCCAACGCAGGGATCGAACGCGTGTCTTCCAGATTGCGGGCAGTTTCTTTACTCTTTGAGCTACCCGGGAGGTTGTAGCAAAGTCCGACCTTTCGTTGTTAAAGAATCTCAAGGGCTTGAGCGTGTCTCTCAACACCTCTGTGGGTTTGGGGTTTTCCGAGTTTTTAAAGATCTGAAAGCCTTAAGGATCACTCTAGCAAATACTCACCAAAAGGGAAAGTGTTTTAAGCAGAGGTAATCCTCTGACTTTTCAACCTAAAAGACCTAGAAACTAAACTTTTTATTTAAAGAAATATTTAAGATTTTTAAATTTTGAAGGAAATAATTGACAAAGGACTTTAAAAAACAATTAGATAACTTTAAAAGATGTATGTGGTACGAGACTTCCCCAGGCGGTGCAGTGCACCTGCCAGTGCAAGGAGACAGAGGTTCGATCCCTGGGTCGGGAAGATCCCCTCGAGGAGGAAATGGCAACCCACTCCAGTATTCCTGCCTGGAGAACTCCACGGACGGAGGAGCCTGACAGGCTATAGTCTGAGGCATCACAAACAGGACTGAGCAACTAAGCATGCACACACGCATATATGACATACGGTCCATTATCCCTAGTAAAATGGGAATGTAGAACATGGACAGTGAAAGTAAAATAGACATTCTTAAATTTCATTTCAACTAAGTATAAAATCAACCTCTGTCAGAATTAACAGTAAAGTAAGTGAACTCTCTGTTACCTGGATTATTAAGAGCTAATTTTATAGTTAGTAACATGGTTAAATTATAGAAAATCATTTTGGTGAGATTGAGATGTTAATCTTTATAGTTAACTTTTCTGTGGGTTTTGAAAACTTTGATTATGTATGTTGTTTTTAAGCCTTGACTTTTTTTACTATTTGATAAGGTTAATTCTTTGAAATGTGACTTTATATATGTTCATTTTCATGTTCATTTTCAAGGAGTATTACCAAAGTACTAGAGTATTACCAAAGTGAAAAATTAATGCTGTTTAAAAAGTTGCCGTCTCTCCTCTTGAAAAATAAATCTTTATCCCCTAAATGATACTCAGGCAGTCAGTCAGTCAGTTCAGTCGCTCAGTCATGTCTGACTTTTTGCGACCCCATGAACCACAGCACACCAGGCCTCCCTGTCCATTACCAGCTCCCAGAGTCCACCCAAACCCATGTCCATCTAGTTGGTGATGCTGTCCAACTATCTCATCCTCTGTCGTCCCCTTCTCCTCCTACCCTCAATCTTTCCCAGCATCAGGGTCTTTTCCAGTGAGTCAGCTGGCCAAAGTATCAGTACCTTACAGTAAAGATAAAGGTGTAAAAAAAAAAAAAAAAAAAGATAAAGGTGTACCTCTTAAAATAGAGGGGAAAGTTGTTGAATTGTCAGAAATTATCCATTTCAGGTTTTCCTATGATTTGGTAATAAATTCATTGAAATTATTAATATGCCTTAAAGTAATTCTTTGTGTCCATTATGATAATAAAGAACTTTAGAAATATATGTGGTGAAATAGTGTTAAAGTTGCTTACTTCTTAGAAGTGTTTAGCCCAGAATACTTCTAACAGGCTAAACAAATATTTCTCTACTAAGTCTTGTCTGAGCACTTCTAGTTTTATGTTATAATTAATAGTTTCATTCAAGTATTGACTTACAGGTTATTTTTCCTTTTAGCATATTTTTCCCTACACTTGACAAATGAATAAATGTGAGTGAAAGTCTTGATATGAGCCTACAGACCTGCTTTAGTAATTATAGCCACTCTCCTCAGCTCACTTTTTCCTAGATTCTACAGCAGATGTGGTATGTAAGAACATTTACTATTCTGAGGCCCTGATTTGAAAGCAAGAAAAGAACTCTGTTACCTGGGTACCCTGATTAAAAGCCCCAAACTGAATGTATCTTCAGTTGAAGTCATAGGCTTAAGACTTTAACCTGATTTGTGTTGAACTCTCTCAAGTGTGATGGAACATAAGTCCATTAAAACCAAAGGGGAATGATTTCTCTTCAAAGGCACTTGGCATGTTGTTCTGGCATAAACATAACATTGAGAAGTCCCTTGCTGATCTCCCTAATTTCACTCCCTTTCCGGATGAGTGGACAGTGGAAGATAAAGTCCTATTTGAACAAGCCTTTAGTTTTCATGGGAAGAGCTTTCACAGGATTCAGCAAATGGTATGGTAATTTTGCTTTTACTGTGGTTCATACCTGAGTGATACCTAATTCTGTTGTTAAACACTTCCTAATTATTAAATACAAAAAAGTTTTCCAATCTAATTGTTAAAAATATTTTGAAATAGAAATATTTGCCTATAGTCTTATTTCTACAACTATTCTTAATACGTGATCATTATGTTCCATTTCATTGTAATAAATTACAATTATGATAAGTATATATTTAATAGACTTACTAAATAAGTTTATCATTTCAGGAAAACTCATAATTTCAGTTTTATTAAATGTTTCATTTTTAACATGAGGATTTTATTTTCAAATTTATATTCCTTTGGATATGAAAACTGTTGATAGAAATTCTGTATCATTTCAATGTTTTTCAGGGACCATTCCTTTTTTGTTGTTGTTGTTGAAAGAAAAACTGCTCTTTATTTCTAGTTCTCAAATTTTTTGTGTTTCTAGTCAAAATTGTATAACTCTGAGAAGTTGCTGCATTAAACTCTTTTAAGTTGAATTTTGGAAATTAGAAATGTTTGCAGATATATCTAAGTGTCTTCCATAATCAAAAAACATTTTTAATTGGAAGAGTATGTCCAAGTTTGTCAAAGTAGTGCATGATCATTTGTCCTTTTAATATCCAAGTCTGTTTGTATTATTTATCATCTTAAAGCCTGGATTTAAAACAAAATGATATTGAATCACTTTTCTTTAAAACATCATGCTAAGCAACAGAAGCCAAACATAAAAGGCCACATATTGTGTGATTCCACTTATATGAAATATCCAGAAGAGGCAAATCTGTAGAGACAGAAAGTAGATTAGTCATTGCCAGGGTCTGGGTTAAAGGGAGAGTAGGGAGTGACTGTTAATAAGTTTAAGGTTTCTTAAAAAAAATAAAGTTTAAGGTTTCTTTTTGAGGTTACAAAAATGTCTGAAATTAAATAGTGATAGTTGTGCAACTTAGTGGGTAAGCTAAAAACCTCTGAATTGTACACTTTAAATTAGTGAACTTTATGATATATGAATTATAAATCAGTTTATAAAAATCCAGTTTACAGGGGGGGTGGAAAGAGCAGAGTAACTCTCTAAGAAAACACATGTGGACTATTAACCATTTTGCTGTGGACTTCTGGGGCAGTTCTCATCATATTAGTTTGTGACATCCTTTTCTCCTTTCTCTGCTCAGAATAAATAGGAATATTTATTTACAAATATCAGTGACATAGGTATGGTGGGATTCTATGACTGTAGCTGCACTTTTTAACTCTATAATTCATAAAGGTACCTGGGAAAATTTTGTTCGTCTATGCTTTTGTTTGCTAAGTATCAAAGAATAATATCAGAAATATTATTCTGTTAATCAGAGTTTATGAAAAAACTTGCTGATATTAACATGATTTTTTTTTTCAAGCTTCCAGATAAGACAATTGCTAGCCTTGTGAAATATTACTATTCCTGGAAAAAAACTCGATCTAGGACAAGCTTAATGGATCGCCAGGCTCGTAAACTAGCCAATAGACATAATCAGGGTGACAGGTAGGTTGGATGCCTTTATATAGTTACAGGTATTGCTTATATTTCCTAAGGTAGAATAGTGATCACAGTTGTAAATGCTTCTTATCCTTATATTCCTATTTCTGCTCTGACAGGAAGAACTGAGTGATCAGAAATTTTCATAGTAAGAACTTTCTTCAACTCTTTAACTGTTAATCATAGTCAGCAAACCTTTCTACTGAGTTATATTTGAATTGTTTTTAACTAATCACAAATGTTTCCCTATTGATATATTCAGTACATATATTTAGACTATATTAAAAAAATATATTTGGGACTTCCCTGGTGGTCCAGTGGTTAAGTCTTCGTCCTTCCACTGCAGGGAGCATGGTTTGATCCATGGTTGGGGAACTAAGATCCCATATGCCAAGCTGTACAGTGAAAAAGTAAGGGGAAAAAAAAAGAAATATATTCTCTGGAAGGTGGTCTTTCCACAGTTATCTGAATAACTGAAGTCCACATTATTGTAGCTGTGTCTTTCTGGTAGTATAAAAGATCGTTTGCTTTCTGGTTTTTGTCTGTCTTTATCCCCCAATTGGAGAACTGAAATAATAAATATTACATCAAATTAACATGTATGTTCTTTCTCCCAAATGATATTTCTTTCTAAATATCTTTCCTATTAAGTCTCTGTTTTTTAGCTGTAAATGTTTGCTTAAATGATTCTATATACCTAAAAGGATAAATGTTTCTAAACACTAGAGGAATCTAAATTATGAAAGCTTGTCTTCCTAAGGATAACTCCTGGGGAATATTTAGTAAAATTACTAGATAGGTATATTGTAGTTTGATAAGAACACTGGAATAGAATAAAAAGAAGTGAGTTAAATGTATTAATCTTTGTTTCTTTTCAGTGATGATGACGTGGAAGAAACACACCCAGTGGATGGAAACGATAGTGATTATGATCCCAAAAAAGAAGCCAAGAAAGAGGTAATGATGATCATTAGAGTGCTTGTAATTGTTCTACAAATTCACTCCAAAAAAATGAGCAGTACTTCATATTAAGAAAAGCATTTTTATATAATGGATTAGAAGGTAGTAAATTTCAGTGTTAATTGAAGTTTTTTGGAAAAGCAAAAACATCAAGAACTCCAGTTAGCCAGTAGTTTAAGTAATTTGGGGATTAACTCATCCATTCAGAGGTATAAAAGCCCTCCTATGATGCCTGTTCTTTTTTTTTTTTTTTTTGGCCACTCTACCCAACTTGCAGGATCTCAGTTCCCTGACCAGGGATTGAACCTGGTCCACAGCGGTGAGAACTGGGAACCACTGAGCCCCCAGGAAACGACCCACAACACCTGTTCTTTAATCCATAGAAAAGAAGTAAAATCACTCTTAGATGAGACAATATTAAGTGTAGAATATTTTTTTGGAGAACATTTAGTTTATTCCATTTTATAACAAATTAGAAATTAGTACCAGGTATACTGACAGCAGTGAAAATTGAAAGCTGCCTCAAAGGAAGAGATGGAAGAATTTCCAACTAGAAGTGCAGTCATACTACTCAGTTTAATGGTAGTGGTGATGGCTTAGAATCTTGAACAGTTTTAAATTGATATACATGCTCATTTATTAAGGCAAGGAATTACATAATTGTAAAAAATACATAGACCACATGTCAGTGGGTAAAGGCTTGTGATGTATAGGCAGCTTGTGAAAATAACATTGAAAATTGGAGACAGAAATGTGACTTCATCCAATTTAATGACTCACATTCCTCCTCTTAAGGAACTCAATGCCATGGCCCATTCTGGTACCTGTTGTCTTTCGTCAGTGAAATTTGAAAAATTCTACTTAGCTTGATACTTTACTGATTTTCTTACTACTGCTAAATGTTCTCAGATTCCCTGATTGCTTGGTTTTTTCCCAAGCCTCTTTGTCTCCCTGAACCTTAGGCCAAATGGCCATTTCCCTAAGTTGCTCTCTTCTTAGTGTCTGTGACTCCCTATTTCTCACTCTTCTGCTGCTCCTTCTCTAACCCTGTAAACCCACAGTGCTGGATAAATTGCTATTCTTGGTCTGGGGTTACAAGAGAAGATTACACAATCATGTACATTGTTGCTACTTGCAAAAAATAGTTTTCAATCTCAGTGTAACCCTTAGCATCTCTCAATTTTTAACCTGTAATTTTCTGTTTTTTCCATTGGTAAAATTAAAATAATAGGTTTGTTCTGACAATCAACTAGGTAATATATATAAAAGCATTTATTATAGTACCCAGTACATAATAAATCTTGAATAAAATTTATTGTGTAAGCAAGTATTTGAACATTCATCCTTGTCTACATATCACCTACCGCCTCTCCTCTCCCCTGAAAAACTCAGCAGATAACTTCACTTTCTGTTTCAAGGAGAAAATATCAAGCAGGAATGCCCTTAAATTCCAGCCCCTCCCCTAACTTCTGTGCTACCACACTACCCTTTTTAATCTGAGTATGTTTACACTTAGGACATTATATTAAAATTATTGTTTTTTGCCCGTTAAGCTGTGAACTCTTTCAGGTCAGGGCTTCTGTAACCCTGGAACATCTGATACCCCCTAGCACTTGACACAGTACTCATTTCCCACTTCCTTGCTGGTGCTTGATAGGATCAGACTTTTAAAATGTCACAAATGCAGTAATATGAAATTACAGAATGAACAGTCTGTGCTGCATGCCTCTCTTTCACAGTAAGAATGGTCCCTCCCCTTGTTCTGTATAATTTCATTGCTAGTTTGATCCTACCTGTCCCTGTATATTGCCTCTAGGACCTTTTCCATCAGTTTCTCTGTCATACTTTCAGCCTTTTCACTGCAGCACAGAAGTATGCTCCAGTCTTTCATTTACAAGAGTCACTATCTACCTTAGCATTCCTTCACTCTTTGAGTTTGCTTCATTCCGCTTGCTGCCCCTTACTTCTTTCAGACTGCTGACAGGTCAGCAGTGACCTCCTTCCTAACTGCCACATCCAGCGATGGGTTACTTTGCATTCTCCTTGTGCTTCCTGTATTATTTCAAGTTACTGACCCCTCCCCTGTTCTGACAATCTGGGTTTGACTTTCACAACACCGTTCTCTGATTCCCATCTACCTTTTTAACTAGTGTTTGTTAGTCACTCAGTTGTGCCCAACTCTGCGGCCCCAAGGACTATAGCCCGCCAGGCTCCTCTGTTCATGGACTTTTCTAGGCAAGAATACTGGAGAGTTTCCTTCTCTGGGGGATCTTCTCGACCTAGAGATCAAACCTGTGTCTTTTGCACTGGCAGGCAGATTCTTTGCCGCCAAGCCGGCGTGGAAGCCACTTTTAACCATTGTATCTCAGTTTTAGTGACTTCTTTTTCTCTTTCTCAATTACTCTGTTCATTGTGTGATTACTGTTTCTAATTCTCTCTCTAATAACGGTGAATTTTATTCTTTTCTCTTTGGTCTTCTAGGTGACTGCCTTATTTTTAGGTTCTCATCTCTTTTCTGAATTACTGACATTTTCTATCTTGTCTTAATTTACCTTATCTCCAGACTTTGCACCACACCTTCCGAGTCCATTCTCTACACTGCTGTCAAGACAACCTTTTACAGTTCCTCTGGCTTTGTCCATAGGATAAAACACAATCTTTCTAGTTAGACATTCTCCACCCTACCCTGTTATTTCACATTACTAAGAGAATTTCAGATAAGCGTTTTAGTGCCCTGGCTTTTGCTCTTTGTTGGTCTGTTTCTTCTAGCATTCCCTTTCTTCCTGAATATGTCTGGCAAATTCCTCATAACTCTGCAATATGTAGCTTGTCTATGAACTCCCCTTGCCTTATGTTGATCTGATTGCTTCCTTGTTTTTCTTTAAATCCATTGCAGTCTTCATTGAGCTGAGTGGTACTTGTGTACATCTGATCTCCCCTCACCTGCCTGCCTGTCCCTGAGTTGTAAGCTCTTACGGAGCGAGAAATGACTCTTAACTGCAGGGCCCGGTACATAGTAGGCATTCAGTCAAATATATTTTAACAGATAAGAATATACACTATAAACTCTGAATTGCTGTACAAATATGAGAAATTAGGGATTTGCGTTTAGTTACCTAGGATACGTGTATATGTGGAACACTGTTTTGTTCAACCATGCAAGATGATACTTACACATTTGGTCTTTTGTTTGCCGGTGATCTCATGCCGTTAGCAAAAGACAGTGAGGGGAGTAAAATTTAAAAAGTGTTAAAAAACACGCAATGGAATATTACTCAGCCATTAAAAAGAATACATTTGAATCAGTTCTAATGAGATGGATAAAACTGAAGCCCATTATACAGAGTGAAGTAAGCCAGAAAGACAAACACCAGTACAGTATACTAACGCATATATATGGAATTTAGAAAGATGGTAATGATAACCCTATATGCAAGACAGAAAAAGAGGCACAGATGTATAGAACAGACTTTTGGACTCTATGGGAGAAGGCGAGGGTAGGATGATCTGAGAGAACAGCATCGAAACATGTATATTATCAAGTGTGAAACAGATCGCCAGTCCAGGTTGGATGCGTGAGACAAGTGCTCGGGGCTGGTGCACTGGGATGACCCAGAGGGATGGGATGGGGAGGGAGGTGGGAGGGGGGTTCAGGATGGGAAACACATGTAAATCCATGGCTGATTCATGTCAATGTATGGCAAAAACCACTACAATATTATAAAGTAATTAGCCTCCAACTAATAAAAATAAATGAAAAAAAAAAGTGTTAAAAACGTGGTACAGGGTTGTGGTCCAGGGCTGGCACTGTGTGTCAGCAGGTTTTTTCAGTTCTCTGCTCTTTCCCAGATGATAGGGGCACCAGACAGGGAATGATGCTGCAACATTGTCTTTAACATAGAGCTGCTTCTGCAAGTTAATGACGCGTTATATGGAAAGGGTTTTATTTTTAACTTTTAAAAATTATGAAACTATATATACCATAGACTGTGTACAATTTGAAGAATAGTAGTAAACACCAGTGTGTCCATCACTGAGCTTAAGAAGAAACAGAAGTCCTTTGTTTTCTTTATTGCACCCCACTCCTTTCTTTCCAGTGGGAACCTGGAAGGAAATCGTATGCCTCCATTGTATGCATGTGCCACCACTTACCTACGCTAATTAATGGGCATTGTTTCTAGCTTCTTATTATTATGAACAATACTGATAAGAGCATATCCTGGATACACACATTCAGAAGGGCAGCTCTGCAATAGCAGTTCTCAGCAAGGTTTAGTATTACCTGCATAAGGGACATGTAAAAATTATGGAGGTGTTTCTGGTTGACGGACACTCTTAGCATATTGGGAAAGGGATGCCTTCATCCCACTTCAGCTCTCCTGAAGTGCATGGGGCAGATTGTTCCACCAAAATACCAACCATGACTTAGTGAGTAGTAATACCCTACAGTGGTTTGGAGTGGCATTACGATATTTAGACTGTAACCGTGTTTAACTTTTCCTGGGTGTGTGCGAGCTAAATCGCTTCTGTCATGTCCAACTCTTTGTGCCCTGTGGGCTATAGCCCACTAGACTCCTCTGTTCATGGGATTCTCCAGGCAAGAATACTGGAGTGGGTTCCATCCCCTTCAGGGGATCTTCCTGAGCCTGGGATCATACCCACGTCTCTTATGTCTCCTACATTGGCAGGCAGGTTCTTTAGCACTAGCACCACTCTATTTTAGACTATAACTGTGTTTAACTTTCCTAGATAATGGCAAATCATTTTCTACACTGGATTTACTTCTATTGGCTATGAGAGTACTCATTACTCAACTTCCTTGCCAATACTTCAGGACTTCCCAGGTGGCTCAGAGGTAAAGAATCTGTGTGCCAATGCAGGAGACATAGGTTCAGTCCCTGGATCAAGAAGATTCCCTGGAGAAGGAAATGGCAACCCACTCCAGTATTCTTTGCTGGAGAATTTCAAGGACAAAGGAACCTGGCGGGCTACACTCC